TGTGTGTGTGTGTGTGTGTGTGTGTGTGTGTGTGTGTGTGTGTGTGTGTGTATCACTGCTTTCTTCACTTTATATAAATCTGGTAAATTCAGCCACACATAGATGGCCCATAATATACAGAAAGATTGAGCATTCAGTCTGCTTCGTAAGATATATTTTCAAGCAAGGAAAGTGGATATAAAGCATCTCTTTTCAAAACGCTAATTCATTTTTTTGCAGGCTCAAATAATTATTCCAGATGTTTATGCATGTGTGTATCTGCACAACCACTTGCACATGGTGAAAAAACGAGGAATATCTCCATATATAGATCTCTGCAGCAGAATGGGGAGGAATTTGGTATTTTTAGTTATTTAGTAAATTGTTACTACTAGCTTAGTACAATTTCATTCTAGGCAACACTGGTATTAAATAGCCCGTCACTTTCTCCCATGGTGTCTAGTGAACTATACTACAAATAGTATAAAATGTGGTTCATAATAGACAGTGGACATTAAATTCATTAAAAGGCACACAATGCATTATTTTAACGCAGTTGCCAAGGAAAAGCAGGAAATATAATGAGAGTAAGAAGAACATATCGAAATACCCTCAGTGTTCACAGTGGGGTGGGCAGGGAAATTAGCTGTTTAAACAATTGAATAAATCAAATATGAGTCTGTCCGAATTACTGGAATGTAAACAGATCCCCAATTAGCATTGTTTGTTAAAAACACAAGATCAGCCTTATTAGCAAAGAGAACTCCTACATCCATGGGTCATTCTAGGCAAAGTCAATTTTAATAAGCATTAGGAAAGGCGCTAGCAAATCCAGTTGCCAGGTGTGACAAAAATAGCACGCTTCCTGACAAGGCCAGGGAGGAAGTGGGGAAGAGAAAAAAAAAGGGGTGGGTTTTCTAAAATTAATACCACTCTATAAGTACTAATATCACTTTATAAAGCCTTAGTAAGACCACACGTAAAGTACTGCATCCAGTTTTGGTCACCACACTATAAAAAGGATGTTGAGACTCTAGAAAGAGTGCAGAGAAGAGCAACCAGGATGGTGAGGGGACTGGAGACTAAAACATATGAAGAATAGTTACAGGAACTGGGCCTGACTAGTCTAGTGAAGAGAAGGACCAGGGGAGACAGGATAGCAGTCTTCCAATATTTGAGGGGCTGCCACAAAGAAGAGGGAGTCAAGCTATTCTCCAAAGCACCTGTAGGTCAGACAAGGAATGATGGATGAAAGCTGAACAAGGAGAGATTCAACCTGGAAATAAGGAGAAACTTTCTGACAGTGAGAACAAATCAACCAATGGAACAACTTGGCCTCGGAAGTTGTGGAAGCGCCATCGCTTGAGACTTTCAAGAAGAGATTGGACTCCCATCTGTCAGAAATGGTATAGGGTCTCCTGCTTGGGCAGGGGGTTGGACTAGATGACCTACAACTACTTTTCAGCTACAGTATTACGAAACTTGGGAAAAGTCTGAAAAGAAAAGTGTTCAATCCTTAAAGAAAGTAAATGTTAAGTACAAGCTTAAGAACTTTTTTTAAAAATGAAATAAACAGCAAAGAGCTAATTAAAACTGATTTTATAAAGGTTAAACGGATTAAGGATCCAAATAAATTTGAAATAAGACTGGAATTAACTATAAGAAAAACTTCCCGTGGGAAAGTTGATTTGTTTTGAGCATAAAAATGATAAACTTCAAAATTGGATACTAGAGGGAACTAAAGATTTTAATTGATGGAGAAGAATGTATAAACATGATTATCAGCAACAGAATGACACAAAATATTAAAATATTAGAAATACTAAAGGACGCTTTTGAAAAATGGAATCAGAAGTTAATATCAACACTGTCAAGAGTGACATTTGCTACTATGAATAGTCTGTGTCCAAAAATATATTTGGAATAAATAACAGAAGAACAGGTTTTATTTGACAAGACAAAGATGGCATCTAAAAATGTCAAGCTACAAGAATGACATGGAAAAAGATGTTTCACTGGACATACAAAAGAAACGGGTTGATGCTTTTAAAAATCAAAGTGGAATTACAAATAATAAAACAACAGAATCACCTGGATATTTCTTCCTTTCACAAATCCAGCTTCCGCATTGACCTTGTCAGAAGCCAACTGGAAAAGTCACAAATCACATGATTCAGGCCCACTGCAACCATCATAACTACATGCCAGTTGCCAAGAATCAAAATGTTGATCACATGACCATAGGGGTGCTAATGGTCGTAAATGTGAGGACTGGTTGCAAGTCACTTTTTTTTCAGTGATGTTGAAGCTATGAAAAGTTATAAAAGGAATCACTGTAAATCACCTCCTATGCCAACAGTGAAAGGAGTTCTTGGATTATTTTCAGTGGCTACTAAATTAATAAATGCCGGATAGAAAAGTGGGATCGATATTTCAACATAGATTTCCCCCTTGTCTTGGATACTGACTCTCTAGTTAAATATTTTCCATCCATTAGCATGGACTTAATAATGTTACTTAGAAGCAGTGACAGAAGGGGAATCAGAACACAGTAGGAAAAAAACTCTGGATAACACTGATTTCTGGTGCTATTTATATTCTCAACTGTACAAGAAATGTGTACTTTTTGTTTCCTGGACATTTTTTGCATTTTTTTTCTTTAATGAAGCTTATTTTATCCACTTAAAAAGTACATTAAACCCAAAAATTGATCTGGATATGTAGTAACAAAATATGTAATACTGATATGGTACATAGTAAAAAAATAAATATCGATTTTTCACGAAAAGAGATTTGAGATATATATGTGTGTGTGTGTGTGTGTGTGTGTGTGTGTGTGTGTGTGGATCTTTGGTTATTCGGGTTTTCTCCCACGTAAAATTGGAAGTATCTAGGCAAAGTTTAGATGAAGTCTCATTCATCATCTTCAGGCTTGTGTCTTTGGCTCTGTGCTTCTCAGATATATATATTTTCTTAAGTTTTCGCGGGTACTTACACATATGGCATTCAGCTTTGTTCGGGTATTTTCCCACGTCATTGTAGTTGTGCTTTTAAAATTGTAGCAACATTTCGGCAGAATCTCATCTGCCATCATCGGGCTTCTGTACTGTGTTCGTCTGATGGAACGTTGCTACAACTTTAAAAGCACAACTACAATGACGTGGGAAAATACCCGAACAAAGCTGAATACCATACATACATACATACATACATACGTGTGTGTGTGTGTGTGTGTGTGTGTGTGTGTGTGTGTGTGTATTAATTGCTGTCTTGGTTAAAAGCGTTGTAGAAACCCATAAAAATTTTCCCCAAGTTTGAACTCTGAAGTGATTTTCAGTATTTGCAAATCTGTATTTCCTGCCTGAATTTTGTGTAAATTTTATACAAAGTGTCTGAAAATTTGAGATGTTGAAACCAAGTATTTTGATCCATCCTGAACAGAGAATACAGCAAAATCTCCTTGCACCCATTTATTTTAGTACAGGGGTGTACAACTTTGGCAGCTTTAAGACTTGGAAACTTCCACTCCCATGGCAGGCTGAGGAATTCTGGGAGTTGAAGTCCACAAGTCTTAAAGCTGCCCAAGATGGACACCTCTGTTTTAGGTAGCATCCTTGTATTCTCCTTGCAAAGAATGTTAGGGTCACATAGAGCGGAAAGTCGTATTCCCTGACAGTTTCCCTTTCCCGAGAAAAATGCAAAAGTCCATTACTCACTCAGTGGCTTGAGGATGTGCCCGCCAACCTCATCGATATTTTCCGCATCGGATTCGGTGATTTTCTCCTTTTCTTTCCTTTCCTTCGGCCTCCTTCTGTGGTGCCTTCTTCTCCGATAACTCTTGGGAACATGAACACCAATATATACCGTATGGTGACCTGTGAAAAAGAACAGTATTTTAGATTCTTTAACAATTTTCAGTTTGTATCAAATGACATTAATATAGCTTCAATGCATAAATAAAGGGGAGGAAATTCATTTCTGGATACCATATAGGTGCCAAATATAACAGATGAGAAGAAAAACCAGATGTGACAACGCAATAATCAACATTTTTCTAATAACCCAACAATGTTTAGGAACATTTCTCTGCCTCCACATAATAATGGTATATAGGTAGTCCTTAACTTACAACCATTCATTTAGTGACTGTTAGAAGTTACAACAGCACCGAAAAAAGAGACTTAGAAGAATTAGACTTAACACTTTATTGTCACTTTGATTATACACTAATCGGCATACATTAAAATGAAATTTTGCTGCCTGCAGCTCTCAAAGGGTCTCCACCTCCAATATACATTACATAAATACGACAAAGTTTTCACATTTACAACTGTTGCCTCATCAGTCACATGATCAAAATTCGGGCACTTGACAACTGGCATGTACTTATGCCAGTTGCACTGTCCTGGGATCACGTGATTACCATTTGTAACCTTCCTTAACTGGCTTCTGACAACCAGTTAATGGAAGAAGACGGATTTGCTTAACTACCACATGGTTTTAACAGCTGTGGTGATTTGCTGAACAATAGTGGCAAAAAAAGGTCATAAAATGAGACAACTGCCTTTCTTAGGAATGGACATTTTGGGTTCAATTGTGGTTATAAGTAAAGGACTACCCGTATGTGGAGGTGAAGCCAATAGACAATGAATGATATGCTTAAACATTAGAGAAAGAGGAGAATTTGGATCCAGAACTGTCACTGTTAGTCCCACTGCCTTTCTAATTTCAAAACTCTTGGAGAACATCTCAAGATGTTCTTCAAATAAATAGGAACACACTGTCTGAGTTGGTTTGAAGGCCATTCAATGATCATGGAACACACGTTGTCATTGAGAGAAACAATTTAATGGGATGGGAAAATTACTCCTTCACCTTTAACAAACTAGCCATCTTCACAAGATGGGGCTCACGAAAGAGGCTGTTTAGAATAGAATAGAATAGAATAGAATAGAATAGAATAGAATAGAATAGAATAGAATGGAATGGAATGGAATGGAATGGAATGGAATGGAATGGAATGGAATGGAATGGAATAGAACGGAACAGAATAGAATTATTTTATTGGCCAAGTGTGATTGGACACACAAGGAATTTGTCTTGGTGCAAATGCTCTCAGTGTACGTAAAAAGAAAAGATACGTTCGTCAAGAATCATAAAGTGCAGCACTTAATGATAGGCATAGGGTACAATAAGCAATCAATTCATACTAGGCAACAATGAATAGAATAGAATAGAATAGAATAGAATAGAATAGAATAGAATAGAATAGAATAGAATAGAATAGAATAGAATAGAAATTTTTTACTGGCTGTGTGATTGGACATACAAGGAATTAGTCTTGGTGCAAATGCTCTCAGTGTACGTAAAAGGAAAGATACATTTGTCAAGAGTCAAGAATCATAAGGTGCAACACTTAATGATAATCATAGGGTACAATAAGCATTCAAATCATACAGTCCATAAAAATCGTAAGGATACAAGCGACAAAGTTACAGTCATACAGTCACAAGTGGGAGGGGATGGGTGATAAGGAGTGATGAGAAGATTAATAGTAATAGTAGTGCAGACTTTGTAAAGAGTTGGACAGTGTTGATGGAATTATTTATTTAGCAGAGGGATGGAATTCAGGGGAAGACTGTTCTTGTAGGTCAGGGTTTGTTGCCCCATAGACTTAAAAAAACCATTTTGTTGGTGGCAATGACATCAGAGGTAGAATGTTAGTGACTATGTGAATATAAATCCAGATTTATAACTTCATACACAGCAATATGAACATTGTGAACACAGGGATGAAGTAAAAAAAAATGCTACTTTTGAAACCGAATATCTGTTCTATGCCAGAAAGTTTTTAAAGGTAACAAAGTATGGGGTTTATGCCATCATGAGCAACACGTCTTAAGAAATTAATCAGATATGAACTTCATGTTCTGATCTTCTATCTTCTTCACTTAAAAGTAAATCTAAGTCTCCTTAATTTCATATAGAATGTAAACATGGAAGTCCTTTGATGTGTTTAAATAATCCAGGTTTTACCCACTCCTTTCTCAGAGGTTTAGGGTGGAGAATTGCGGACTAAAAAAATATGTTGATCTGAATAAGCGTTTCCCATAAACGTAAGAACAAGTTTGCCATCTCAGCTGGTTTTTATCTTCGTGGGCCATCAAGAATGCTTTCACTCAAACTAATATTTTCATAGGTATTCAGCTCAGCAAGTCATTAGGCTAAGAACCAGGATATAATATAGGAGAATATTTGTAGCTCACAGTTGCAAGAAAACAACCAAGCTCAGAGTACACCAAAGACTGAAGGATATAAGAAAGGGGTAATTATCAAATGTGGTGAGAACCCCACCTCATGGGACTTTGCTATATTTTGTCTACCACCTACCCGTACCATTAATTTTAAATATTATACCAATGTTTAAACTTTTGCTACTTTTATCTTGTTTTCCTTTTTTTCTAACATTGTTCTTTATTTAAAATATTTTAAAGTATCTTTTAGGCAAGAATAGTTATAAAGATGTTTTTACTGCTTTTAAAAACAAATTTATAACCTATATTGTCCCCAGTAAATAATTCCACTTGTAAATCTATGTCCGCCTATTAACATTTTAAAAACCCTAAACTATTAAGAAGCAGTTATAACCATAAAAGTAGAAGTGTTAATCAATACATCGTCTCACTTAAAACCAATTATAACTATAAAAATAGGAGTGTTAATCAATTCCTAGTCTCATTTAAAAACAGATAAGCCACATGACTAATTAATTTACAATTTAAGTGCCAATAAAACCACATAAAGTCCACTAAGATTAATAATATCACGGAAATTATTTAAGGAAAAAAAGAAACTTAAAAGAATTTTATCTTTACCATTTACCTCAAGGGCTATAAAGAAGGATCTGCAGATATCATACAAATAAATAAAATGGAAAAAAAAATGGACCTTTTGCAAAGTTGGCATCCATTACAGGTAAAGTACATCGAAATAAAAGGGGCTTTGTTCCTATAGAAAAACTCAACTGCCTTACAGGTAGTCCTCAACTTAGGACTGGTTACTTAGCAACCATTGGAACTTGATAAAAATAGAAAAATTGAATAACAGAGGTGGAAGGGACCTTGGAGGTCTTCTAGCTCAGTGCTCGCCAACCAGAGGGCCGGGGACCACTGGTGATCCACAAGAAAATTTTGGCAGTCTGCAGAGAAATGTCATCCCAAAGCACCCTCCCAAAGCAATTAATCCAAGCTGCGCAGGAACACAAGGCTGCGCAGCCCACATGGCCCATGGGAACACAAGGCCTGCGTCGCTTGCATTGCAGACAACATGAGGTAGAAAGGGGAGGGGGGAAAGGGCGGAGGGGGGAACTTGCCCCAGTTGTCCCACGCACCTTGCCTGACCACCGGGCTGCTTCTTTCTGCTTCTTTCTTCTTCTGTTTTTGGCTGCATGCAAGGAAAGCAGCAAAAGTCTTTCTTTCTCTCCCCCAAACGAGTCTTGGGGACTCTGCAAGGCCTCCTGCTCCAAGAGGCTGCGCCAGCATGACAAGTCTCACAAAAACTCATTTCTGGCGGAATTTGGGGGAGAGAAAGAAAGACTTCTGCTGCTTTTCTTGCATTAAGCCAAAAGTCTCTCTCTCTCTCTCTCTCTCTCTCTGTCTCTCTCCCCCTGAGAACGGAGCTGGAGACGGTATCCTGCGATCCCAATTAAAGAACGATCGATCGGTAGGAAAATGGGGTGGGGACTTTTCCTGCAGACTTGTTTTAGGATCCCCCCAGGGTCTGTGGTCCGCGAGATTTAAAATGATGAGTTTGGTGATCCCTGAGGTCCAAAAGGTTGGCGATCCCTGTTCTAGTCCCACCACCTGCTTAGACCTGAAAAGGAGTACCTGCATATTTCTGGGCAGAAGGCTAGGTTATCCTGGACAATGTAAACAAGGATCAATTTTTTTACTTCTAGCAAGTCTCAAATTGAGAAAGAGAAACAAGACAAACTGAAAACTATTCCCTGTGCGTTTACACGTCAACCACGTCGGCAATCTCCACCAATATGATGGCTTTCTATTTACACCATCTTTGGTCTCATGTTAACCAAATCTACCCTGTGATTATGGGACCAACAGATTAAGGAGACTATCTAATTCCATTGGTAGCATATTGATCTATTAGGACTGTGGAATGACCGTAATCCATTCCTAAAACCAAGATGACCACAGAAGCAAAACAGATTTATTGAGATTTACCAAAAGGCCATAAACATTCCGCTAAAACCTCCAACTTCCCCATTGTCCAGGTTTAGAATGTTTTCTTTCGCAGATGTTGTTTTCATTTCTAGAACTATCCTGACCTTCAAAGTAGAAATGTTTTATACATTACTATTTATATGTCAGTCCAATATGGTATTTCTCATAGCGGCCTTGCCACTGAGAAATATAGGCCTCTGACCCACGGATTTATCAATCTGAATTTGCAAAAATGAAGGAAGTAACAAGGGGGATTGAGTTAGAAAAAGAGAACTTTGCATATGCTCCTATACAAGCTTCATTTGCCAGGCGAGATAAATCCATAGTTTTGTGGAAAATTAAGCTTGTATAGGAGCATATGCAAAATTCTCTTTTCCTAACTCAATCCCCCTTGTTACTTTCATTAGATAAGGAGTCTCTCCAGGTTCAAGAAAGAAAAGAATAGAAAATAAAAAATTCAAGGAATAAAACTGCAGGGATCTTGGTGCTCTATGAGCTTGGTTGTTTTCTTACAGACATTTCATTACCCAACTAGGTAACATCATCAATGCTAGGAGACAATGGGGTTTGCTTTCTTTTTCTATGCAGTTAGCATTGGTAGCAACAGGGTTATCTACTTGTATATAATCCATCAG